AGAGAAGCAAGAAACGAGTTTTGCGGTAATCCATCGTCGTTATTTGTTTAATTAATATGCTAGATATAAGATTAATTCTAACCTTGGGTTTCTTGTAATTAATCCGACAGCATTAAGAGAAAGGCTGTTACAATTGCCATCTCGATCACGCACCAAGCTTTAGAAAAGGAGTTGGAGTTGGAAAAGCGAAAAAATATTGAAATCTCCAACCAGCTCCAAGAAAAGGGTCGGCAGTTCACAAAATTACAGGCAAGTTCGAATACAAAGATTTTTTTATTGTCGCGGCTGGATGCTGAGCTGAAACTAAACAATGGGGTTAGGATCTGATCAACCAATGAACAGCATCAGCCCCACATTTATTATAGCGGATATTTAATATTGTGTTATTGTTTATCCATAATTGCAGTCAATGTACGACCAACGATGCCTACGATGACCAGATATGCATCAAGCGGAAACAGAAGACCAGGAACGACAAATGACGTAAAAACATCTTCCAGCAAATTGCTATTAATATTAATTAATTATGAAGACAATATATTTATTATTTTTATCGATGACTCTGCACACAGCTAACACAACGGCAACCAAACGTCCTGGATTCGCGCGTTCCCGTGAATCAACCACGTAGCTGGAATTCATATTCAGGTCCGCCCATGCAGCAATATTAATATCGTTTGCTTCATAACTAAACCCTTGCTCTAAAAAAAGTCACCGTGTGTGGACTTCCCTAGAGCTCAAGAATTTCTCTCACAAGAGAAAGTTGAGAAGCTGCGAAGTCAAGCTGCAATTGTTGTCGAAGCGAACAAAAAAAAGGCGGTTAAGACCAAGAATGGCATGGCTCCTGAAGAGTTGAGTAATGTTAAGATGGATATTATTAGATAAGCGGATGTGTACCACCAAATCCGTCCAAGATGATGCGCAAAAAGAGATTGTAGAGAATGCAACTGACACGATTCCTGCCACGACGACGACAATGACAACAACTACTATATACACTCGCATTACGGGATATTTGTCATATCTTTGTCGACACCAAATTCTTAAACTGAGAACTGCGTGTAAGGCTTTTTCTAACTTTATCACTTCAATCTATGGCGTCAACTGAACGAATCTCCAGACAGTTTGCAACAAAAAAATATAGTTAAGGGTGTTCCTACTCTATTTTTCGACTTTATTATTTATTTGGAGCATGCTGCAGCAAACCAGACAAAGTGAACATTTGTTATGCGAGCTAAAATTGCTGGTATGGCCAAAAAATTAGCGTCATTTGTAATCCAGCCTATACATGGGTATTCCCCAGTGCGAAACGGTCAAACTTCAAAGGGTAAGCAAACAAATCAAAATTATCGACATAATGCTGGGCACGAGATTAAAATTTATTTTGGTTCTTTTAGCGCCCAACAGGCGGCCATTCTCTGGACCGCCCAACGCTGGCATGCGGTTTATGCCGCCGATAAATCGATGGCAGCGTATCTGCTGCAATCCGCTTTTTGTTGTGTTTTTCTTACAATGTACTGTACCACGCATTAAGCGCGGTCAACTTTTATTGTAATAAAGAGTCAATATTCCCCCTTTATACACTAGCTCGTTCATTTATATTCCTTTTCAGTTTTCACAATTCGTTTCATTTCCAACTTTGATTTGTCGCAACCAACAAATTTATTACACAAATGATATAATAATGCAAAAATTATAATTATTGCCACCGCTAATTCACATCCAAGACTTTAGGAGCGTGTAAAGCAAGTGTGTATCAATGTGTGAGAGAATACTTTTTTTGTTATGTAAGAGCCAGTTAATGAGACTTGATTAAACAAGGGAGGGTATTGAAAATATTAAAATTGATCGGATAAAAAGAATGCCGTGGTTATAAAAGCAATCTAGCAATGAACCTTTTATATAAACCCAATTAATATTAATTATTCTGTCTTTCCCATATCTCCAATAATATATTTTTTGTCTAACGCGTTCGACTTTCTTTTAGCACTCATTCTCACTTTCCCCCCATACATTGGTATCCCTTCCGCTTACCTCATCATCAATCCTCTGACTTGCAGAGTCAAGTGTGATTGCATTGTTGGCCTCGTTGCTTAAATTGTCATTGTTGGCGCTGCCATTGCCCTCGATCCCGACCTGGCCCAGGTTTCTTCCGCATAACTATTAACCTCAGCCGAATGGGTAGCCTCACCGTCTTTCGTTGGGAACGGAAGCCTATCTGCCGGCAGTGGCCATGCCATATTGTCTAAATTCGACAATAATGATTTGATAGAACAAGATGAGGCTGCAGAGTGCGGACGCTCTTGCTCGGATTTGGTGCTTGAAATAGTTGATATTGCTATAAAAATCACGTAGAGAAAGAGGGTGAGTGGAAAGAAGTAAGGCAAAAGAATGGAAGCATCCATTGATATTCGACTTACTTTCATCGAGCTCTTTATCACTACCTTCCCCATTTTCTTCCTCGCTATCCTCATTCTCTTTCTCCGCTTGTTTTTGGTCTACATCTTCCCAAACAATATCTCTGATCCATTCTTCCCACGAAACGATTGTAATTTCTCCCATCCCCACTTTCTTGTGCTTTCTTTGCTCTCTTCTTGCCTTCCATAAACTCTTGAAAGAGCTTCAACTCTCTTACTTTCATTTCTTTTAACCTCTCACATTTTTTGTCGTGTTTTACGGTTAGCCAACAATTTTGAATCGTCTACCCAGCTGACGAGAAATTGTCGAAAGGGTGGACTGATAGCAGTTCTGAGGGATATTGGAAAGAAGAAATGCGTTTGCTTTTGGCAGTGGAACTGTGAAAGTGGACGTCACAGAGAAATAGTAAAAGATAAGAATGATAAAGTTCATTCACCGAGTGATTTCGTAAACGAAACAAGAAGTTGAAGGTGATAAATCGTTCTGTTTAAACGATGTCAGATATACTTACATCAGTCAGATTAAGGTATTTGAAATCCGATCGCATCAAATGTAATTTATTATAGTATCCAATGACTTTTGGAGAAGTCCACATTAAATCTATAAACTTTTTCTCTTCAGAATCCATATTATTTTCATCCTGTTCCTCGACAGGTTCATCATCTACTTTCTTCTTTACTGGAATGTCGCCTTCAGGGACATCATCCAGGCAAGAGTATGCGTTTCTCTTCTCTTCCTCTGCGTTTGCAATGGTGGGAGGTTCGGCTTAGATGATCTATATCATGTTCGTCAAATTTACACGAGCAAACCAAGACCTACCGTTTTCATGAAGCATAAAAGCAACCAAGTGAGCAAATATAAATCTGGTTACATAAGCGTCATATCCCGCCTCATGATACAAAGAGGTGTCGTTAAGTTTGTATTCAGTAAACGTCGGGTCGATTACTAGGACGATCAATGAGTATTAGTGACATTTGGACGCGAAATGTGCCGGACTTGGTTTGTTGAAAAAGAATATACTCGACAAATAAAAGAATTTTTACCCCAAATCAGTGAAAGGACGTCTTTGGACCATTCCGAGAGTATCTTGAACGCCGGTTTTAATAAGATGAGCCTTATTTATTTTGGAGCAACGTCAATTAAACGGGTGATATAGAATCCAAAGCTGGGGCATAATCCATAAAAATAGAAGCACAATAAATAATAACAGCACTAACCTGAAGCTTTGAGTGCGAAAACGCCAAGTGTTTGGTGTCAATAATACTATAAATAATTACATCAATATTACAGTCATACACACTGATTCAGCCATCAAATGATACTAAGTGTACGAGCCCATCTTCACAAACAAGTCTTACGTTTCGAAAAGTCTATGAGCAAGCGCTTTGAATTGTCACACTTTCTCCGGAACTTCTGATGGATTGTTTGACAAAACTCAAAAAACAATTATGGCCGATTAATAGGTTTCTTCGCTTCAATCCACATTTCTATGACGTCGCGAAAATTGACGTTAATGTCAGAGAGCTTGTTGTATTTCACAGATGAGGGGAATGGAGAGAAAACGCGCGAGTGAGTATTTAAACAAAAAGTAGACAATAATCACGAACGATTTTTCTTTGCATACTATCGCATCATCCTCTTTGAATCTCGCTCGCGTTGTTCTTCAGTTAACCGCATGAACACGATTGACTTTGGTCTACTATCACCGTCTACGAATCCATTGAACCTAAAACAATGAACAAAAATCAAACGCATTAATCCACGTACGCATTCTCATGAGCACCATCCAATATAATCAAAAGGTTGATAGTTCATTCCATTGATAAACACTCACTTCACCCCTAACGTGCTGAAAAACGAACCGTTTGTGTCTAACAGTGGGCGCTTCGGTAACAAGCTGATTGTTGACCGGGTCATGCTTCAATTGACTTTCTAATTAAAGATTTTCGTCGTGTTAACGATATTTGTTGCTAAAAAAATCTAATTTGCAAAAACGTAAATAGCCGAAAAGCCTACATAGCCTTCTCGGCTGCTTCCACAACATCAGCCTCGGGCGGATTTTTTGTGAATATGATTTGAAGTGTAGCTATGATTTGCGTTGTCATTACGGGAAAGAGTAGGATTTTCTGTGAATGTGATTTGAAGTGTAGCTACGATTTGCATTGTCATCACGGGAAAGAGTAGGTAGCCTCGGGCGATTTGAAGTGTAGCTATGATTTGCGTTGTCGTCACGGGAAAGAGTAACCTCGGGCGGATTTTTTGTGAATATGATTTAAAGTGTAGCTATGATTTGCATTGTCATCACGGGAAAGAGTAGGATTTTCTGTGAATGTGATTTGAAGTGTAGCTACGATTTGCGTTGTCATCACGGGAAAGAGTAGGATTTTCTGTGAATGTGATTTGAAGTGTAAGCTAAGATTTGCGTTGTCATCACGGGAAAGAGTAGCCTCGGGCGGATTTTCTGTGAATATGATTTGAAGTGTAAGCTAAGCTTTGCGTTGTCATTACGGGAAAGAGTATGCAAATGTAGAGATTGTTACCTAGCTCTCCTTTGCAATAAAATTTCTTCGTCGGGTTTGTTTATAAGAAATATTCCTACGCAGGCAATTACTCTGATTCAACAATACCGTAATACATCTATTATTCAACTCCACCACCCTCGACACCAAACCACCTTTCATTTCTATATTATTTCTCTCGCACGCGAACACCTTCCTTTACCATAACACACCATTAGCTATTAACTCGTTGAAATCAAAATTGTTGTTTGACAAAAAGTGCAAGCTAGATCCACTGCACATGAAAACTACATCGTCTGTGTCTCTGCAGTCAGCATTCGCTGTTGTTAGGATGTGAAAGGAAAGACGGACGGACGGAAGGAAGGAAGGAAGGAAAATTTAAAAGACGTTTAATGAGTTGTAAATGTGGAGAAAGGTAAATGCGGTTTTGGGGACCTGGACGGGATTTACGCGGTTTTTAGGGACCCCAAACGGGATTTACACGGGATTACATACTGTATATATTATAATCTGCTTTTTATCATTGCTCAATGCGCAAACTGAATCTAACCGGTCAATTCAGTATCTAACGCGAAATGTTCTTCAATACGTCCATTGGGGAAGTTCAACCATAAAAGTTGGAATGCACCTTATTCAGGGCCCACATAATTGGTGTTTATCGTATAATTCATATACAGTCAACCCTCTTTATAGTCACCCCCTCTATACCAATTACTATCGAACTTGTAGGAAAATCCCTCTATATAGTCACAACCTCTTTATAAGCACAAGTGACTATAGAGGGTTGACTGTATTATATTATATTTTATTACAATTTTATTTTACATTTACAATAATAATCATCGCTTAATTGGACAAATAAAAATAATGCGATTTCTGTTTATTCCTATGTTTAGGGAAGAATAAGAATGGATAGCACCCCATAAGCCTTCATTTACTTGCGCTTGAAGTGGTTGTTGTGACGTTGATGCCATCTTTTCCGTGTCAATTCTTGAGATTGCAGAGCCGATTTGTTATTATACGGTTCGTCTGTATAGTGGTGTTGTTTCCATGGCGATAATCACTTCATCTCCAAGAATACGCGTACAAAAGCACCGCGCTTGGTTGGTAGACTGTCCTCTCTCTGACTTTGTGTGCTGTAGACATGACATGACAGAACCCCACTCCATAACGGATGGTGGTTGTTCAAGTCATAGTTCATCGGAAGAATTGAATTGGCATCAAACAATTCTTTATGCCCACAACTACACCAAACCGGAGTAGGGTTGTATTCCACAGTCAGAGCAATAACAGTGGTGAAGCCGTCACGAGCAACCGGGCAACCATCTGAATATTCCAGAACTATCATCTTTACTGGCGTCTTGTTCTACAGCTATTGTCCGTAAGGCCGTTCTTTTCTCGTCGATTTTTTTGTTTTAACGTTCAAACATCCGTTTATCGTCGAACCTCTTGTTAACGTCCGGAGTTGAGCTGACTGTTCGAACTTGTACCTGTGTTGGTAGTGAGAATATTTTAGCAAACGTTCACAAATGCTGACGTGAGTAAATAGCAATATGATTATTTCGTACCTTGCGAATAGCAACATACTGCGACCATTCTATTGATCATCGTAAAGGATGTAGGACTTTTTATCTCGGTGTTTTTGTGTTACATCGTACAATACCTTCGGCTATGGGAACCGTGTCAGTTTATCAAGTCTCGGTAGGAATTTGTCAGATTTACGTGATTTTTGTAAAGTATTTTCGTCTACTCGCGGAGAATTCATACTCTGTTTCAGAAAATTAATACAGAGTATTGAAGACAACGGGTAAGAATTCTATTTGAAGATATGAAAGCACATTGCAGCTTCGCTTCATCAACGGACCCCACTTATCGATTCTTAGCTGTTGCCAATCTAGCACAAAGATATACAAAAAAAAAGAAAAAGCGGTGGCTGCCAACTTGTGTATAGCTGTTACAGTATATTCACATTGACGACCTCTCGACCATTTTAATTCAACATGCATTGTCCCCTATGCAGATATGGCCAAGCACGTGAAAGCAAGGTTCGGGAAAATTGTAGTGCCATGGGCCCCAACAAACGCAAGATTCTGGTACAAATCCACGCGAAAACGTTCTCAAGGAAGAAGAAGAGGCTGAAGAAGTATCGAAATACGAAGTGGAAGATTATAGTGGAGATGAGGCGGGTTGTAATGTTAGCTATTATTACTCATCATGTATATTATATAAATTTTGTTTATCAAATTTTACGAATTACGTGGTATACTGATTAACTCTTACAAGTTGATGCAATGTTTAGAATTGAAGGGCAAGACCGTGCAATGACTTGGTTAAACCTCAATCAATTTCATCGCCTCTTCATTCCTTCTTCTTTAGATGAATAAGTATGGCATTGTCAAACTATATTAAGCGCTTGCTTCGACATGATGTAAGCAGCTATGCGGCAGTAGCAATTACGGTAAATAGTATGCACTTGCCAAACGCGGTACGGAATGTGGTTGCTAAGGGAGGAGCTTGTCAGAACAGGCGCCCCCGCAGGCTCCGTAAATATTGGGATGAATTCACATTAAAAATATAAATTTGTTTTAAAAGCCTGTTTCCTCGACAGAGTTTTTGTTTTGCGGAGTGGGCTCTTGTAAAGAATTTATCGAGCTTTTGTTTGGTTTTTTGGGGGACAAACTTCTCATAAAAAGGTTTGGCATAGCCTTTGTTAAAAATGTAAACATCATCACTAAAAGTGTGAAAAGATCGCTACTGACAAGGAAATGGAGAGTTTAAATAGATTTTATAAATCTTGCTACATCCGTTAGCGTTCAACGCAAGACGTGTGTCTAATAAAACGCAAAACTCAAAAGCAGTTTAGATCTGCATTATCGATTTACTGAAACAATAACGCGATGGTTGTGATTTGAAATTTTATAATTAGCATCCAGCCTTCCCTTGCTCAGCATGTCTTTGTGGTTTTGTTTACAAAAGTCCCCATGAACCTGTGGTCTAGATTTTTATATTCATGCAGTCTTCCAAGATTCTTTTGTACGATAAAAATCCTCGCTGCCGAAATATTCGGAACAAATATGGTAATAACTGTTCTTTCTATATCGATATACAATGCAGTACAGTATGTACAGTATTTGCTTTTTTTTGTAATGTTACAAGAAACTGCACATGTCTGATTATCAAATATGTCGATTGTTAAATATTTTTGTGCGATTCCAATTATTTCCAATTGTTAAATCTCGCCAATCTCAACCTCCGTCAACTAACAATTACGCGACAAGACACCAGGAGCACCTTCGGCGAAAATTGCAAGTCTTCTGCAAAGAATCTAATAAGTACAGTAATACACGGACATTTTTATACGTAGGCTAACTTATATTAGTATTCGAAATACGAGACTTAAAATAATCACATGACTAGGGAATAACGCGGAATTCGCGTAAACTAGAAAGCTACAACCACATTTCCGCAGAAAAGAACCCTTCAATATTCGTGATAACAATAATTGTTGTTATAACGAAAATCAAAACTTACAGGCATCTTGACCCGTCTTGGAAACCCCAAACTTTATGTCTAGCTATCGAAATTATAATTATCGCGCAAACATCATGTATAGTACTAAACAATTGATAGTGGTATTATTAAATACAATTGAAAGCTTCTCTTTATCGGATATTAATATAATCAGTAATCTTTGTATGCAAACAGTTTATAAACAGTATAAACAATATGTGTAATTAAATTTAAAAAAATTTTATTTATTAGTAAGTTATATTTTGTACATAATATTATTGAGGCAATATATCATGCAAAGTGCCAATGTCTGGTGGACAGACGGTACCTATCCACCCAGCCATATCTTATTGGGCCCATACTAATTACGAACGTTTGTAAGTTTTAGGTCATTTTTTTTCGCAATTTCAAGTTGCGTCGTTGTCTGGTCATTATACATGGTCGACTTCTTAAATAATTGTGAAAGCCAAGCCGTTGACGCTTTCGAAAAACTCCACCTTAAGGTGTTTGTAAAATTTGATCTTGTGTGAGCAGATTAAATTTATTTATCACAGCCGATTGTTTTCACTGGCCGTTGGACGTCCGTAAACTTTCCAAAGTTGTTATTAAATAATTGTGAAAGCCAAGTTGTTGACGCTTTTGAAGAACTCCGCTTTAAGTGATTTCGTATGAGCAGACCAACTTGTCGACTACAATTGAAAGAACCTGGTTGTGGGCATTAGTTTTCACCGAGCCGTTGGACGTCCATAAAACTTTCGAGGTCGTCTTCTTAAATAATTGTGAAAGCCAAGTCATTAACGCTTTTGAGGAACTTCCACCTTAAAGGTGCTAGCCAAAATTTGATCGTGGATATTTGAAAGAACCTGATTGTTGGCATTAGTTTTCACCAGCTGTTGGACGTCCGTAAATTTTTCGAGAATAAGTCGTCAAAGTTACTCGGCAAATTGCTCTCATGGGCTTGGAATAATTTTATAACAATTGTCTTATTGTTCAGCGCTTGTTCACCAAACGTTCGAGGGATATAAGCGCCAAGTTGATTTCTTATATTTTTAACTTTTGAATCGCCACCATGTTAATCCAGGCCACATATTGTTTGCAGCTGGATGGTTTTGCTTACACGACACGACAGCCAAGATTGCTAACATTTTGTTGTTAACTTGGTCTGTGTGCTCACCAGAGACTATCGGGGCTGTGGTTTTATCGCAAGTTTGACGCTATGTTGTCGCGTTCGTGGACGAAATCCAACATGGCCGATTCTAGAAAGCCGCTGCTTTTGCTGGCCGTCTGTGTAGGATTTCCTAATACCATTTCGGCATTTGTATGGTTGGTACCAAACGTCGGTAAACGTTCGAGAGATATAAGATAAGGCGTCAAAGCTACCCGCCAAATTGCTTGATAGTTGTTGAATTTTAAAATACATTTATGACCAAAGTTACAATAAGCAAAGAAGAGAAATACCAACAATAAATTCATGTAATTCTTACCAAGAATGAGATAATTGTTGCGTGTAGAAATAATGGTTTGTTAAAGAATAGCAAGGCAGTAAGTAAAAAGCTATAACAACATACGGGGGTTGTCAGATACTTTTATATATGAATTGGTGATTCTATATTCTTACAGTATCCCCAACAAAGAAATGGATGTTGGCGTGAAAATATTTACTTTTAACTTTTTAATTGAGATGCGCATATAAATATATGCTTACCTTCTCACATTTGACAAGATCGTATTGGCCGCTAGAAAACATAGTCAATCTAAATGGAGATAAAATTATCATAACAGCACAAAATTCGCTCAATTACAATATTTCTTCTCGAGAAACGTTTCTACGAACCGTCAAAGAGATGCGAATTATAGGTCAGTTATCTATTGTCTTTTGTGGAGAATGGCAAATTAAGTAAGGAATTTTGTTGATTTAATAACCTAAAAGTATTAATAAGGCCATGTATTATTATTATTATTATTATTATTGCTGCAATATTAATATTAATAATAAAGTATGTACCACAAAAAATCGTGTAACATATTATCGTGACAACGTACTTTTGTCATAAATATTGTCCATAACTCCAGAATTACTTGCAAACACAAAATATCGTTCTCTATATCACACACAGAATTTATGCCAGTAAATACAAGACGCAAAAACTGTAACATTTGTTAAATTATACCTGTAAACTCCGCGTCAATGCTTTAACAATGTCTAATGAGATGGTTTCCCGTTTTTCTGTTGAAAAAATCTTTCTCATGTACTTTTTTTGGATAGCCACATTAATATGTTGAATATCTCCATACATTTTTATAGAAGATTGTTCTCGTACGAATATGGGCTCCGTTAATTAATGCGTTGAGTTATTTACATTCTGCAATAGCATTACATATAGCTTCAAGTATATTCTCACATTATAGGGCCGGGTATCGATAAAAATACTGGTTGCGTAGTAAATAATAACAATTATTTATGCGCGGCGACGCTTTCTTTAAAATTATAGATTGCGGAAATAATTCTCGAATGTATCAACTTCGTTCCATATTAAATTCATCTCATTATCAAAATTCTCTATTACTATCGTTGACGCTACTAGTATGGTGTACTCGAGTTCAATGACTCAATGACAGTGATGAAGTATGTAGGCAAATTGATTCTAAACGAAGTTATCTTGTTTGTGGTGCTGGTTATAAAATATCAACGTAAACTATCTTCTAGAAAACTTATAAAGTACCATTATAAAGTACGTCCTTTTAAGAGTCTGTTTACTACACTCTCGTTCCAAGGGCATGGCTTTTTCCCGCAAGAGAGGCAAATCTTATCTATGACGATATAATGCGTTCAGGCACCACAATCAATGACATTCGCTATGTGTTATTATTATAGATCGTTCACGGATAATATTGATTTTAACATTTTAACGATTGGAATTTTATTTAAATAGATCATGGGCTGACGCCTGATGCATCGCTTTATGAAACAAATGAAAGAAACAACCATGTACTCGATAAATTAGCATTACTGACTGTCTATATGCAGCGAGTGTTTGGAATCACAAACAGTGCTTTCAAAGATTCGAGACACTTTCTGTTGCCTCGTCGACACGATCCGGTATAATCCACGCCTCGGGTAAAGAAAAGTAAGTACTGTACGTGTAACTACCCTGTTTGTCAAAATCCTCATAAGCTCCTCATGGGTTACCGCGCGGCCCCCGCCCCGCCTTGCATATTCATCAAAAATGATTGCAAAGAAGCTCGCAAGGCAAGGAAAACATCTTTGTTAACAGAAATTGGTGTATGGAAGACATTGTTAACCAGCTGGCATTTATTGATGTGACGGCTAAGAATAATAACTGTCACCTTCCGTTAGACTACATGTCATTGCGTATCATCGTCGATGATGTATTTTTAATAGTGAATAATGAAATTATTTCCGCATTCTTAAAATAAGACGTATGGCTATTCCCTTTTATTAGTGGTTAATGCAGATTTTTTCCCCTTTAATAAAACGCTTGCCACAGAATAACCATTTTTCGTCCCGACGTGACATTCTTCCTTACGGCGTATATCGTTATTGCCACAGAGAAAAGCGGTGCCATACGTCGAATTACAACGATGCTTGATCGGTCGGGTTTCTGTTCTTCGTTGGGACCTCTTTGGCCTTCGGCATAAGAGGATATACTGGAGCAAACAGCTGTGGTGAGATAAGCCGATAGTCTCAAGCTTTCCTATTCTGCCCAGTCGGCGGCGCATGTGAGTGAGAGGGTTTAGAGTGTAAAGTAAAGTTTATTGACTAAGATTGCATGTAAAGGTCGGGTAAGTGTCAAACGTTGTTTTCTTGTATCGATCATGCGTTCTGAGAAAGGGATACTTTATCACTACCTAAAACGAGGGATCAAGAGTGTATTCGCCTCTGTCTTTAATTGAACAGCTTAAACTGGGCTTAGCGAGCACCTCGTTGTGAATAAAAGTTCCTCGCGCTAGTGACTGATTATACAACGCGCGATCTGAGTCCCGTATACAACTTACACAAAAAACAAGTTTTGTCCTACAATGATCTCTCCTCGCGTGTAACCCGAACCTGCAGAGATTAGTCAATACGCGACTCATTGAATTTCCTTAGCGACCGAGTCTGTAAACGATGGTTGGTACTTTGTTAGTTAATGTAATATGATATTTGAAAAAGCGAGATCTGACAATAGAATTTAGTAAATATGCATTACCGAGTATCGTCTGATGCTCATTATAGCTCTCCGTCTCGTAATATCGATTTGGGGACTTTTTGTAATGACCGAAATATATTACGGTGACCATTGATCTAACAGCAATATAATCGTGACGAATACACTGACTCTACTAGGGCCACAACCCCAGCAGCTCCATCATTGTCTTGTAATACGTTACTGTATTCTTTAATTCATGGAATGGACAACCTCCTTGAAGAACGATTTTGCGCTCAAGGGTATTATTATTATTATTATTACGAAACTCAATCCGTCAAAAATCACGGCAAGAACAGTGCATTGGAAAATGAATAGTGATAGTAAATCGCTTAATTGGGATTATGTCCGTCTTTTATCTCTCTTTATGTCTCTGTCCCCTTTCTTCACCAGCATCCACCAAAGCAGCCTAATGCTTCCTGGATCAACATTACAATCCCAGACGCTTTGAGAATCAGCGCATCAAGAATATGTAGCAGCGCAATTAGACATTGGTATTTATTATCAACGAGGAGGAGCAGAAATATCCAGAAAGCGGTGATCAAGAGTACGCCACCTGCTCATAGACTGCACGACGTTATAGAAGTGGAATCAGAGTGTGATAACGTGGTCAATTTGCGACAGAAATCAGTAGAACGGGGAAACATGCGAATAGCAATACATACTTACTCAGATACCGCGGATGCTACAAAGTTTGAATATCAAAGCGACCGAAAAATATGTGGGCATTAATAACGAGAAGATATCTACGGAAGGGGACGTATGTATATAAGAGGAGATGTCGCCCAATATGTAGCTCAGTATACGATGCTACACAACCGGTAGAAAGGGAGAAGACTGAGTGTCAGGTAACCATTCTTTTATTTATCTTTCCAAACGCCAACATTAAAACCTATCATTACTACATTAATATTAAATTAGGAATAGCAAGTCCTGTCAGGCCGCGTCAGCCTAAACTGACTCTCTTTTTTGTAAGATATCGAAGAAGAATATTGCGAGTATCTCTATCAAGGTTTGTTTTACATTGGGGACAGCAAAACACCTTAGATCCACCTAGCTTTTTATGAATATAACCACAGAATCCATATTTACTTGTACAAATTACTGGGTAGCTTCTCTTCTCCTTCTGCAATTTGCGGCCGAACGTAGTCCATTATGTCGCGCCACAAACACTGTGATGATTGCAAGTAGGCTTTCTGCGAGCTCGCCATGTTCGCTATCATTGGTATAAACTTCTGAACCGAGAACCACGAGCCGTGTCCCATTTTTTCCCATAAGTTCGGATCCAAAGCGACACAAGCGGTCTTTTCGGGTAACCACCACTTCCTCAACATACCATTGGTTCTGATGCGTTTGTTGTGCTTTAGGTCGGGACGCACTGCCAACATTTTCAACGTTCGTCGTGTCCGTCCATATACCACTTTTCGGTTCGATTTAAAGTAGAGAGATTCTCTTATACGAATTAATTCGTTTCCAGAGGGACCGTCCTTTAGAGTATATTCGTTCCAAAAGGGTAACAAATCCCCTGCGTTTCCAATTGATGTCACTGATAATTTCGTGTCCTGGATAACGTTGTCGGAGATCTGTGATCTGTCCGTAGGTTGGGGAACTGAGGACTTCCTTTTGTTTGAACCCCTTTTTTGGTGGTGGTTTTGGCAGTCGGTGGTGGTGGTGTTAGCATTGATGGTCGAAATAATAGTAATAGTAATCTTTAGATATTCACGTAACGTCCCTCCGTCAGCGTGTTCAAAAACCGAGTGATAATGACCACCTGAAATATCTGTTTACATTCAGAGAATGTGTCAAAGTGATGAGCAGAGCAAGAATAAAGTGACATTAAATATATGATGGTGAAAATGAAGAGTAGATTGGTGGCCGGCATGCTTCTAATCTCATTCTCGATCAGTCTCATCCATTGGCGTTGATATACGAAGCCTTATTATTCTATAAAGGCTTACGTCTTCCTCCCCTTCTTCTGTTTGTCGTTAAATGTGTTTAGTGTTGTGAGAGAAATAATCATTTCTATGTTGCTGCTGTCCTGTGGGTTTTTTTCTGCTGTTGGTTGGATGTAATCGGCGCCGTACGGGCACGGCCGAATTTATGTTCTAACTCATTGGTAGTATTCAAGAGTTGAATTTGTTGCCTTTCTTGAAAGGTAGATAGATAAACAACCCCATTCTGTCTTTCTGCAAGTTCAACCATACTGTACTCTTAAACTCTCGCAATACGTATTTATTGCCTGTAAATTGATAATATCAAGTTAGGGTTAGAATTACAGAACAATATAAGGAGTGGCCGAGCGCAAGAGTACTCGGCGAAAATACTGGCATTGTACATCTTTGTTTTTTACTTGATGGAATGCTGATAATATAACCTACCCTATGTCTAACGGGACCGTTCCGTTGCAAGAGCCACGACGCATTCCAGCCAGAAATGGCGATCTTATCATAAAGAATCATTGTGTGTTAGGTGGTGAAGTGCCGGATATAGACATTGATTCTTTCATACTTCAGCAGAGTTGTTCGAATCTATATCAAAGTTGTATCAATATTACACTTTCTTACCATAAATTTACGTATATGTTCAGCACTAAGAAGATTTCAGCCAACGTACCGAATTTTCGCTCAGCTCATCAACCCTTAACTTATATATCCAATATTAATATATAATTTGTCCAGTTTGATAGACCAAGTTTAGTACGTTGGGCATCTCCAAACGTCTGAATTGAGAGTCAGGTTTGATGTATGTATGGGGTCGGCCAGGTAAATCTAATTAATCCAATTAAATATTAGAATAAATTATTAACCAGAGTTAACCTAACATCGATATTTCCAAATTCACTTTTTTCATCAATCCTTACCCCTAGATTCTTCCATCAGGCACCTGAATCCGATAACATACAACCCTTTACAAGAAGTATCGTGGCTATTCGAAGCTCATATTGTGCTTTTTTGAGTGCCCTACTGTCCACTTTCCTTCAAACCATATAGAGAGCCCGATCTGCGTAATGCTCAATATTTCCGCGCGTAACATCTCTTTGTTCGCGCACACGAACTACTTAATGACAGGATCATGCTTAAGAATGATTCATACTTTTGCATCCTGTTCGTTGTCTGACGCGTAAATAGTTTAGAGTCTGAGTCCAGCTCAGGCGGGAGCTCGGTGGATTGCCATAGAAAATTGACGGTCTGAAGATTTGAGGGTGGCTGTCGTTGTACCTCACATCTTACTATCACAAGAATATTCACCTTGTCGAATACGAAATCATTCATTGCTGCCTTGTGTGATCCTTTCATTCGATTATAAGCACTCCTTTGGAAACGGAATACAACAATATCGATCCATCTTGTAAACCCAGTGAAATGCTCGAAAGTTCGTAACTCTTTTAGTGAAAAGAATGGGTAGTGTTGGTTGGGGTAGTTTTTATCGTTCGAGGCAACAAGTAAATCGCGTATCGAATATCCAGAGCCTCAACTACCGTCGTCAAAGATAAGTTGATAACAATGAGAGGATGAGAATTTATGGGCGGATAATAATAAGAGAATGGTAGGAAAATCACGAGGCTGAAAGCCAAATATGCGTTTTTTTTGTTTGAAGGATTGCATATTTAACATTGGTGGTTTCAAATGCCGCTAATCAACCAATGGAAAATCGTTTCAGAAATAATTGATGCCTAAATGTCGTCACTATGTAAATCCCGTTTTAATTATTTAATTGCGTGTTCACCTATCTTCTATATTTAGTAATCCTCTACTCGTAAACAATTTAATAACTGTTCAAGTTTAAAACAGGGCTAGTGCTAATATTAACTCCCGTCACTCGCTGCTGCCTAATTTATTAAGAAGGGTATGGGTCTAGATCTAGGTGATTTTGATGATGGGGAATTTCGACTCGTGTTTATGATCATTTCGCGGCAGACATCTGCTGTGCGTCGTCTTACTACACTCACGTGAACGAACATTAATATTTATGGCAGGCGTAGAATTTCGCATGGTTAAATACATACCAATCTAAATTAACTTGATCATGGGTTCGCCGTAACAATTTCTGTCTAAAAATTAACTTGTTAATTCCATGTTAGAAAAACAAGTAAAGTTATTTTTGGGACTTATCAATTGAGTCAAGCCATGTGGCTGGTTATGACATATATGGTCGCTATTGTGGCGGTTGAATTATCACTTAACATTAGCGCGGGAACATCTTGTTCCTTAATATTAACTTTAATCAAAATATGGAGATCGATCATATTCCTACCATTGACTACGTGGAGCAGGTAAGCTATCCACGAGAATGCGCACTTGGAGTATACATTTATCTATATAACTTATACATGATGTAGGCCATACAGCAACTTTATGGCAACGGGAACTACAGGGCTGCACAAGATTATCTATATAATCTTCAAAAGCAGCCATATGCATGGGACTTAGCCTCCCAATTACTACGCTCTGAGGTACGTAATTAGCTTAGCTATGGACTACCGGCAATGGTACTTGCTATAGCGCTCATAACCCCAATATTTATCAGGCTATAAACTCTCAATTCTTTGGTGCCCACACTTTCCAAGTCAAGATCTCTAGAGACTGGTAGGTGTCTGTCTTGACCAATCCATTGTCCTGTTCTCTTCTATACAATATCTTCACTAAATCTCTGTTAATTGGCCGAATACTTCTCTAGGAATTCCTTGCCGGATGATCGCAAAATCTGGCTTCGCGGCGAATTAATTGGCTGGCTGATTCACTTCTCCAACGGTCCACCGCCCGTTACCACAAAATTGTCAACCGCGGTAACACACATTCTCTCTATCAGTCCACGCAATTATGTCAAAAATGGTCTGTGAAAATTCTCATTTAATAAATCTGTTTCTCCTAGCTTGCGGCATATACTATCAACGCCATACCAAATGTGTGGACGAATTGTATAGCAGAGCTGTTTCAATATTTTCAATCAGGGATAATGACACTTGAGAGACAAGATCTAGCTGTGGAGCTACCCTTGTTAGAATATTTGACCGTGTTGGCGGAGGAAGTTTCGACGACGGACTTTGTTGATGAGCAGAGGTAGGATAACCGGAATGTTGGTTAATGGGGGCGCCAATGTATGGTAATACTTACATGGCGTCGTGTTGATTCAGGACAAACGTTCATAGGGAATTAACAGATGCAATTCCATTGCTAATGTCGACATTGCAATCGTTCCTGGCCCAAAATGATCGATCGCAGCGAAGCATTCTGATAAAGCAAAAGAGTCTTCGGTGCTTGGAAAGCTGGATAGCGTACAACGTGCCATTTGAGTAAGCTGTCCGAAAATCCCAGCCTGCATAGGTTGATTATTTGTTGACAAAACGTCGTATTTAATCTCTAGGTCTCTCCTGTCATTGATTAATCACGTTATCGAATTGTTTCCATACGAAGAAACACATGAATCAGCAACGGAAGTATTAATTCAGTTCTTAGATCAGCCGTCAGTAACTTTAATTCAAGATACTGTCTGTGATTTAATAATGAGATGTTTTTCTAGTGAATGGACGCGATCAAGAATTGCAAAAGCCTTTAATGGTAAGACGTCTTATACTTCTCCGTCGCGACAACGATAATAGTAACTAATGACTTATTTCTATCTGCTGTAGAATCCGGTGAATACGCGATGGAGAACCTATGCCGTCTCATGACGGTGTTTGGCGATACTTTCACCAACTACGTTGCCAAACACTTGACCCGACCAGACATTGTGATATATTTGGAAATGATGCTTACATTTACTGGGTTTCCCGGTTATTATGCTCAAGATCAGGAGATATCCTTTGTTTTTATCTTCAGTAATGTATTAATGGAACTTTATAAAATATCATTAAAATCCTTAACACCAGATTTGTTAACACATTGGTGAAACGACGCTTGAATTCTGGGTTCATCTCCAAGAGGCAATTCATGATCCGTACGTGATACCTATTCATTCCAACTCAGCAGAGTACAACAATGATACTGTTCTTGACTTTGGTAACGCCGCGGGGACATTATCATCAGAAGAAGCTCAGAATATTAAGCAAGCGGCAGTTTTACTGTTTAGAAGGTTAATTGAAATATTGAGAGTAAAGCTGCGACTGTTACCGGAAGATATGGGTAAGTTGGAGTATAGACAGACTTTGTTTATAGATGTATTTTTTTTCTTTGCCAATATAATAACATAACTGTCGTTTATTAGTGACAAAGCAAAGGTCTAGATCTTATCGCCGAGCCCGTTAACGATATCGGAAGAAGGACCTTACCAATATAAGTAAGAAGCATGAAACGAATCACGCATGGGCATAAATGACCAAGTTGATGGTAAGCAGTTTCCATTGCTATATGCTGTTAAACGTTCCGATGAGCATATTTATTAATCTATGGGAACATCCGCAAAATACACGGGATAATAGATGGGGAGTAGCTATGGTGATTATGGGTCGTTTACTGTTGTGGTTATCACAATGAGCGATTGATGACATGTATGTGTGGCAAGGATTTTAAAAGTGAACTGTAATTAGCGTATACTGACACGCTGTTTTATTGAACACACATATATAGGGACTCTTCATTTCTAATGGGATTCAATGGACTTTTTCCATTTTATCCGGATGTTCTTTCCTACGCTGCTTAGAGGCTGGTGCACCATATGCCAACCGACGAAATTCAGCGGTTCTTAATGTCCTTGTTGCACGCTTGTCTCATTAACCAACTTTCCCATCTCCATTCTCAATTGTATATTCGATAAACCATTCTTTCCAAACTGTACTTTCCATTCCCTCTAATCATCCCCCCACACCCGATGCATTATCATACCAGCCGAACTGGTACGCGCCACCAAACTGTATATTTTCGACAAAACTATTCTTTTTCCAATACGTTTCATCTTTCCCGTTCGAATTACTGAAACTGATGTTCCAGCGCTTAACTGCACCATCCGCATTATCATACTAGCCGAGCTATCAGATTGTCTACATTCCCTTTATTGATACAACCCAACCCAACCCCCAAGCTACATATTTCCTAGCAAATTGGTGTCCAGCCGCGAAATTACGTTCCTCTTGTTTTTCACCAGTGTCCTCATTAACCGTCCTTTAGTGCTTCCTCCATAATCACCACCATACCGCCTCAATCATCATAAAGTCTCGATAGATGCAACCGGTCATAAGGTAGAATGTATCAACGATAACCGTTGGAACTAAAGATATTATTAATGGATGTCACCAAGACCTGATAGTAGGATAGATAAAAGCCAAAGGCTCTGTTATCAAGAGACTACGCTTAGATTGAATGGCATTAAGCTATCACTTCTGTATAAGGTTAGTGTCACAACATTTTGAAGATCTACACGTGATGCAATAACACTGCATAAAAAGCATTACATTTACTTGTTTATTTCCAACATTTTATATAATCGCATTCGTGGAGAGAATTATGCATTACGCGTATGAGAGTAGATGAAAATTAAGGTGGGATGTTTGCTGAATTTACTATCGACTATTAGTCTAATGTCGCTGACGACAATGTATTATACTAAAGGTGTACGGTATATGACTGATGGAATTTTAATAAATGTCACGGCTGATGCTGAAATCGGCTGATGATGAAATTCACGTGACCTCATATTCAATCATGTAATAGGTACAGCCCCCTCCCATAAATGACTGAGTAACACAAAATTTCGTAAATTATATGTCGAATTCGCACGCATGTAAC